GCTGGTACCTTAAAAGCCCCAATGCACAAAGAAGGAAAGCAGTCAGCAGGAGAGAAATCCGAACAGTTGCCCCAAGACATTCGAGAGCAGACTAAAAAGCAGGTACAGAGACCATGCAGCTGGGATTCAAAGACAGCACCAAAAGAAATTAATCGGTGCCACAATACAGATTAATACATAATTAAACACTAACAGTAGTCATTAGTTTCTGAGTAAAGAACTAAGAAAAAACAACCCAGAGCCAAAACCACCTCTCCCAAATATGCCCATAGTGGTTACGCTGGAAGATTTAAGTTAGAATGACTATGCTTGAATCCTGGTTATCTGCTCACAGATTTTAACCTAAGCAATTTCATTAACCTCAGCAGCCTCATTTGTAATTGTAGGACTGACTTCAAAAGATGGTTGCGAGGGCTAAGTTACAGGTACAAAGTCTTTCAAATAGCACCTTACACATAACACTCAGCTAGTTTTAGTTCTTGACTGGGTGAAACTGATACTAATACCTTTCAACTCCAAATCCTGTGTTGTATTATATCCCAATAGCTTGGAGGTTCCCCCACACATACCCCCTCTTCCCCCTCCCCCCCATGCAACCCAGCCCCTCTTCTATCTCTGATGCCAAAATATAACCACCCACCTGATGGGGTCTATAGACTGTGGGCCCCCACTGTACTAGAATTCAGACGTGTTCTAAGAGCTTGGGTAAGGGGTGGCGGGCCTGTACTGAGCCCTGAGCAGCCTGGAAGGGGCTGCAAGCTGATAACCAATCCAATGCCAGGACTCTAATCTACCCCCATCTAGTTCAGACTTCAACTACTTTTGTTCTGTTTCTTCTTGCCCCCAACTAAATTTTAGGTGAAACCTATTTTCTAGGATGCCCCAACTCCTGATCCTGTATTATTGTTCACCTGGGCATATGCATAGCTCCCAAAGCAGAAGTCCCTTCTACTACAGTAATGTGACTCACAGTGGTCACTTAGTAATGGTGCACAGGCAAGGACCTAAGTTCTAACCCATTCCAAGCCACTGGAGGCATTCTGAGCACAGTATATAAAGTGGTAAAGCAGAAGTAGAGGACAAGGTTTTCCATTATCTGGTTTTATGAACCTTGAGTAGCCAGATTTTTCTTTTTTTTAGGGAGGGGAGGAAAAATGGGAGGGGGGTCCTTCTTTATCTGAAGGATTTAGAGGAAGAGAATTTCTGAAATCTAGTCAAACTTACCTAGTGTCTTCTATATGACCTAGCACTTTATTATTAGGTGTATATTCAGAACAGGGTCTTTTTAGCAATGCAAAATAAGCAAACAAAAGCAAAGGCTAATGGCCTTTATTCACCTCAAATGTGTTAAGCATTATGTGAAAGGTACTTCCAAGTTATAGACACAGGCACTAACCACTCAACCAGATAATTTACAGAATCATTCATGTCTTTGCATAGCCCTGGAGATTGTTTGGGTTCTTCTAACTTATTTGGGATAAGACCTCTCTGTTTTCTGGACTCTTGTTTCCTCCTTGGAAAAGCAGACCAGCTCAGATATCTAAGATCTCTTTGGTCTGTACTGTGCTTCTGGGTAGAAACACAATATTTATTTGAGCTATGCTTATACAAGATGTGATGCATAGAAATTTATAAAAGTAGCCTAAAACCAAGAACAATGTCTTCAGATTTTTTTTTATACATCAAGTGATTTCTTTTCTCTTTCTTTTTTTTGTTGTTGTTGGGGTTTTTCTTGTCAGTCATGGGGCCTGAACTCTGGGCCTGGGTGCTGTCCCTCAGCTCTTCAGCTCAAGGCTAGCACTCTACCACTTGACACAGTGCCGCTTCCAGCTTTCTCTGCTTATGTGGTGCTAAGGAAGTGAACCCAGGGCCTCATGCATGCAAGGCAAGCACTCTACCACTGAGCCACCTTCCCAGCCCATTAAGTGATTTCTTTTTTTTTTTTTTTTTTGGGGGGGGTCCGGTCGTGGGGCCTGAACTCTGGGTCTGGGCGCTTTCTTTCAACTCTTCAGCTCAAGGCTAGCGCTCTACAACTTGAGCCACAGTGCCACTTCCGGCTTTTTTCTTTTTGCTTATGTGGTGCTGAGGAATCGAACCCAGGGCCTCATGCATGCAAGGCAAGCGCTCTA